CTCTCTCGCTCTCTCTCTCTCGCTCGCTTGTTCTCTCTTTCTCGCTCGCTCTGTCTCTCTCTCTCTCTCTCTCTCGCTCGCTCGCTTGCTTCTCTCTTTCTCGCTTTCTCGCTCGCTCTGTCTCTCTCTCTCGCTCTCTATCTCTCTCTCTCGCTCTCGCTGTCTCTCTCTGTTTCTGTCTGTCTCTCGCTCTCTCTCTCTCTCTGTTTCTATCTATCTATCTCTCTCTCTCTCGCTCACTCTCCCTTCTCCCTACCACCCCCTCTCTCTCACTGTCATGCACCTGTAACTCGCTGGTGCTTGCATCAGGTATGAGCAGTGCAGCGTGGTTTGCTGTCTTCAATAGAAGTGAGAGGTAGGTGAAGGTGAGAGACTTCACCGGAACGTTCTTGCTGTTAAACTGCAAAACAGGTGTGCGTTTCGATTTTTTTAAATTGTTTATTTATTTGCGTTTAATTTTTATTATGCGTTTCGAAATATTCGGCAAACGCTAGAAAAAAAATTTTAAATTTTTTAAAATTTAAAATTTTTATCGACAGATCCTTTGTGATTTACGTTAAAATAGTATTCAATTCTTAGTGGTGGTGGTGGAGATTTCGTGGTTACAGTGTTAGTTAAGCCATGATCGTATTAGACAACTATGTGACTGAACACAGTATCTTCAGAACTCATGAGTGTGCGTTAATGCATACATGTCTGTGTGTGCGTGCGTGCGTGCGTGTGTGCGTGTGTGCGTGTGTGCGTGTGCCTGTGTGTACGTGCGTGTGTGTACGTGCGCGTGTGTACGTGCGCGTGCACGTGCGTGCGCGTGCGTGCACGTGCGTGTGTGTACGTGCGTGTGTGTACGTGCGTGTGTGTACGTGCGTTGTGTGTACGTGCGTGTCTGTACGTGCGTGTGTGTACGTGCGTGTGTGTACGTGCGTGTGTTTACGTGCGTGTGTGTACTGCGTGCGTGCCTGCACGTGCACGTGCTGCATGTGCACGTGCGTGTGTGTACGTGCGTGTGTGTACGTGCGTGCGCGTGNGCCCTCTCTCTCACTTCCTCTCTCCTCTGGCCGCCATCGCTCTGCCTCTTCTCTTCTCTCTGGCTCTCTCTCGTCTCTCTCTTTCTCTCTCTCTCTCCTCTCTTTCGTTGCTACTGCTGACTTTCTCGACAACACCAGCCCTTCCCTCATCTCTCTCTCTCTCTTCTTCTTTCCTCTGCTGCTATGTTTGCCTCTCTCTCTCATCTCTCTCTCGTCGTCTCTCTCTCTCCTCATCTCTCATCTTCTTCTCTCTCTTTCATCGACACACACACTCCTCCTCTCTATCTTCTCTCGTCTGCTCTCTCTCTCTCTCTCTCTGCTAGCTCTCATCCTCTCACTCTCATCGTCTCGTCTCTGCTCATCCTCTCTCTCATCTGTCTCTGTCTTCTGGTCTCTGATCTCTGTCTCTGTCTCTGTCTCTGTCTCTGTCTCTATATGTCTTGCTGTCTCTGGTCTCTGTCTCTTGTGTTCTTCTCGTCTCTCTGGGTCTCAGTGTCTCTGTCTCTTTCTCTGTCCTCTTGTCTCCTGATCGTCGTGATCGTCTGGTTCGTCTGGATCTGCTGTCACTGCATCTCTCGTCTCTCGCATCTCTGCTCTCTCTCTCTCATCTACTCTAACATCTGTCTCTCGTCTCTGCGTCTCGTCTCTCTCTCTCTCTCATCTCTCTCTCCCTCCCCTGCTCCCTCTCTCTCTCTCTCTCCTCTCTCTCTTCTCTCTCCTTCTTCTCTTTTCCCCTCTAGTCCTCACACCGTCTCTCCTCTCTCCAACGCAGGAGAGCCGCGAGCGTCGTCACTCGCGCCGCCATGCGCTGGATTGCAGCGGCGCCGCCGCGCTCGAGCCTCACCGGCCCGCCCTGCAGAACGACATGCGAGAAACCTGGCTGGCCTGCTGCACTGGGCAACCCGGGCTGCCTCAGGCCAGTAGTCGCTGCGCCGTGCGTTCGGCTCGCGTCACGGGCGCGTCCGATCCGGGCGCGGCAGCCGACGCCGACGCGCACGGAGGCGGGAGGCTGGCTGACGGCTGCACTGATGGGAGGCGGGAGTCTTGGCGCGGACGCGCGCTCGCTGGCATGCCTGCGTCGCACAATGATGCTGATGGGCCGCACAGGCTGCCGCGGAAAGGTGAGGGTGAGGGGCGGAGGAGGAGAGGTGGTGAGGAGATGAGGATGGTGACGGGTGAGCGGACGGAGGAGCGCGAGGAGGATGGGGAGGGAGGCAGGAGGAGGAGGGAGGAGGAGGAGCGAGGAGAGGAGGAGGAGGAGGATGGGGGGAGGCAGCGAGGAGGAGGAGTGAGAGAGGAGGAGGGAGGAGGAGCGGAGGAGGGAGAGGGTGAGGAGGGAGGCGCGAGGAGGGAGGAGGAGGGTGAGGAGGAGGCAGGTGGATGCTTGTCGCGTGCAGTGTGGATGGAGGAGAGAGGAGGAGGGCACGGGTAGGGGGGCGGGCGCAGTGCCTAGGGTGCAGGGCAGGAGGAGAGAGGACGGGGGTCGAGCGGTGAGGAGAGAGGAGGAGGATGAGGGAGGAGGAGGAGGAAGTCGGGAAAGACGAAGGAAGAGGAAGGAGGAGTGGAAGGGGAGGGGGAAGCAGGAGCATGAGGAGGAGGAGGAAGAAGATGGGGAGGAGGGTACGCGGAGGGAGCGAGGGCAGGGGACGGAGGAGGCAGGCGGATGAGAGGTGAGGAGAGGAGCGCAGTGAGGAGGAGAAGGGAGGAGGAGGAGGATGGGGGAAGAGGGTGAGGGAGGAGGAGAAGGAGGATGAGGGTAACACTACTGGTTTTTAGCACTGGTACCTATGCTCATGCAATGCGTAATCCTGTGTTAAATATAAAATCTGCAAATAAATATGATTATAAATATAATAATAATTATAATAATAATCAATTACACATAATTAATTAAATTATAATTAATAATCATAATTTTAATAATAATTAAATTAAATTATAATTAATCTATTCATATAATGATAAATGTGAAATATAACTGTTTTTCTCTCATTGTTGGTTGCAGATGACAGTGTGGTGTACTGTCAGCTGTCTCAGCTGCAGGACACTCTCTATAGAGCCATACTGGACACGGAGGATGCCTACCTCGTTGTCCAGCAGTGGCACATGTGTGACTGTGGCAAGCAGCAGCAACGTGGCAGGTGCTGCTACAAGGTAGGGTGCGGTACACCCGCTCACTAGGTCTCTCTCTGTCTCTCTGTCTCTCTCTGTCTCTCTGTCTCTCTCTCTCTGTCTCTCTCTCTCTCTTCTCTCTCTCTCTCTCTCTCTCTCTCTCTC